GGGGGGGGGGGGGTAAAACCCTAAAACACAGTTCACTTTTTTAATGATCAAAACAAACAGACCTCTCTAATCTCCCCTGTGTGAAAACAACACTGGGCTGATTGAGTTCCTCAATGTCTTTTCTTAAAATGTATGCAGGGCTCTGACTAAAGCACAGAAAGAGCCAGGAGATCCCTTAAATGCAGTGTGAGTGCTTTGCACAGCTCCAGTTTGCACGAGGGGGAAGTGACCCTGTGAGGGAGCCGGCTGCAAAGGCACTGGGAACATTTCCTAGGCCCAGGCGTCTCTGGTGTGTTTACCTCAGGAGGGAGGCGAAGGCGGGCTTTGCAGGGCAAGGGTGGACCTGGTGTCTCCGCTTCATCTCGGCGGGGGGCATCCTGCAAGACAGAGAGAGTCCGTCAGAGGCAGGGCCGGGCAGCCCAGGGCGAAGCAAAGGCCCTGGGACCCCGCTCGGGCCACCACCCGCGGCCTCAGCACCTTCTCCAAGTCCAGCGCACCTGAGGATTCGTGGATGGGAGGCAAGAGGGATGGGAAAGGTGAGCGCCCCACGGTGGTGCAAAGAGCAGTGACTCGAGGGCCCTCAAGAAGGGGGCTATGGAAGCCGCAACCCCGCTGGCTTTTCAGAAGGCCCCCCCAAAGCCTGAGAAACCCAGCTGACCCCAAGTGCACACGGCAGTCTGGGCCCTCCCTGCCACACCTGGGGACACCGACCTGCAGCAGACAGCGAGGACACACTGACCTGAGCAGGTGGCACCCACCCCGCCTCGTGATCTGGTGACTCCACAGATCACACTGCTTGGAGTCATATCTAACTCTCCTCGGGTCTTGGCACAGGTTAGGCCTGTGTGTCTCCTGAATGGAGCACTTGTCTCCGCCGTTTGAAAGGGTATTGTGAAAGGCAGAGAAAACAAAAATAAATGAAGGGGTAGGGTGGCCGGACCCAGACGTAGCCAGGAAAGAGGAAAACAGCTCCATGGGAGAACATATAATGGTCATTCACTATGTGAGTAATTCATTTAAAAAGAAAACTATTTTCTCCTATAATTTACAGGATTCAGAATTAAATAATAGTCTAAACTCCTCATGGATAGACTCAATTTTCAATTTTGAGGCAATATCAAGCCCTCATAGAACTGTGAGGTTCCTGAACTATGAGGCTAGTAATGTCCCTATGCAGAGAAGCATCTTTATAAAAATACATACATATATATATATAAATAAATAATATGTGTGTGTGTGTGTGTCTTTATTGACTCCAGAGAGAGGAAGGGAGAGGGGGAGGGAGAGAGAGACATCAATGATGAGAGAGTCATTGATCGGCTGCCTCCTGCACACCTCCTGCTGGAGATCGAGCCTGAACCCAGGCATGTGCCCTGACTGGGAATCTAACCACAATCTCCTGGATCCTAGATCGATGCTCAACCTCTGGGCGGGGGGAGCAAGAGAAGCATCTTTTGTGAACACCATAAATGACAGGAATTCCTTTATTTATATGTAAGGAAGATAAATAAATACGGTGGAACACCACACCAGGACATAAAAACTATATTCAAAGGACAAGATGAAGTATATTACTTGATTTCTAAGGTTATTAAGAGATAGAAACCAAACTATTTTAGATTGTGAAGACAGACTTTGGGTGGCTTTAATAAAAGACAAATAATCTGTCTTAATGGGGGGGGGGTGAATTCCTTTTATCACTAGGGCATTCATTAATTCATTACACTTTTTTCAGAAAAAGTATAATTTACAGAAATTACACAAGGCAACTTTTTATTAAATATCAGTATTTAACAATATTTTGTTTTGCTGAAATGGTATTTCAATTGTAAAAACCATCTCTGGTTACAAAAAACTAATCAAAAACCTTATTGAATTTCACTTGCTTTTACAAATGCCCTAAGAAATCTTAAGCTAAACAACATTTTAAGTAGAAAAACACTAATTTTTAAATAGCTTCGTGTACTATTTCTGTGGTTTATGTACATATATTACCTGGTTTCTTTTACAGGAAACCTGACGGGAAGTTTATCATATAAGCATTGTAAAATAAAGGCAGGAGCTAATCACCTTTTAACAAAAATACTCTATACGCAACAATTGCAAATATCAAAGATACTCTTTAATTAACTGCGGCAAAATATGAAACAAAATACATTTGCTGGATTGTTTTTCAGAGTGCAGCTGCCCGTGGCTCCCGAAATGAGGACGCCCTATAAATACGGCCGCGAAGCAGTCGTGCGGCGGACAGTTCAGGGCAGTGCTCTTCTCCCCCGTTGTTCTGTTCTTCCCGCCTGCTCCACTCCCACATGGGATTTATGCCTCAGATAAAGACATTATTTGAGCAATTTCAAATGATGCACAGCTCCTCATGTAAAAAAGATGTTTTGTGGTCACAATTACTTCGAAAAGCGATTGTTTAAAATAACCTGGCATATCATGCTTTAGCAATAACAGAACCGTGATTGTGACACACGGCAATTTATAGGTTAGGCAAACGTGAAATGCTAAAAGATGGGAACAGCCGCTCTTCTGTTTCAGTTTAGAGTGCTGCAAAATTCCAGCAAGGACTTGTTTTTTTCAGTTAACACAACCAGCCCAGGAGACAGCATGCTAAGTCATAAAGCACAAGTCCAAGGAAGGTAACACCTTTACTAAGTTATAATAAAATCATATTTTGTTGGAGTGATATATTGAGTGAGTGATAATTTTCACTCCAAAAATGTCATTTAAGTACCAAATTAAAACACTCTGGTTTTTAATGGTGGTTTATAGCAGAGCAAGTTATTTTATATAAGTTAATATGGCTTTTAAAGCTATATGATTTCTCCTTTTAAAGCAAGTTCCCGCCCAGCCAGGCGTGGCTCAGTGGTTGAGCGTCGACCTGGGATCCAGGCGATTGGGGTTCGATTCCCGGTCAGGGCACAGGCCCGGGTTGCGGGCTCGATCCATGACTCTCTCATCATTGATGTTTCTGTCTCTCTCTCTCCCTCTCCTTTCTTTTCTCTGAAATCAATTAAGATATATTTAAAAAAAAA